CCCTCATCTTAATCGTTGATAGATAATCTTTTAGTACTGTGTCTTCCTCACCTACAGTTGAATTCTTCAATCAATCGAGGCAAAATTTAGTATCGCGCGCGGTAGCAGTTATACAGCATTTCTCAGTGACTCTCGCCGAGTTTCCAACTAATTAGCCGAGTTCTCATTTGGTTTAGTCAATCCGATAGATGGCACATTTTTTCACGATGAGTTTTCATTGACTTTCGTAAGTTCCCAATTCATTTGGTCAAGTTCCCGATGAGTTTAGTCAATTAGCCTTTACATTGAGTAAAAAATTAAACTTTTTCATTCAAATTCATTTTTAATTATTTTTTCAACTTTTAATTTGATTATTAGCATAAATCTTCGGCATTTATTGTTGAGATTCGATCAATTTTTGAATATGGTGCGTAAAGAAAAAAGATGCAAATACCTTGGAGAAGAGATAAAATTAATCATATTCAAAAATTGATCGAATCTCAAGAAATTAAAAGTTTGTAAGACCACAATTTCCTAACGGAACGAAGGGTGAAAAAGTAAAGCTCTACTCCAATTTCTTTAGATTGAAATTGGGTGGAAACCCTGTCTACCAATATGATGTCGCTTTTCTAAAACCAGATCAATCATCGGCTGATGAATTCGAGCAAGAGGTCTGCAGAAAATTCAAGCGAATCACCAAGAAGCTGAATCAAACTCTTCTCGCACAATTTGTTAATACTACGGCTAAAGAGATTTTTGTTGGAGTAAGTTATGCTTACGACAATGATAGAATCCTCATTACAAGTAAACCTCTTCCTGATATTTCAAAAGAAGGGAGAATCTTCACTTTCTCAATCAACGAACCGCGAGATAATGGAGGATAATGTTGAACATTATGGAAGAGTCAAATATCTTGGCGATAAATGTCTCGGTGTTCCAACTCAAGTAGTTTTAGATAAACACTATGACCATCGTGAATATATGGAAACTGGTACAACCAAACTCTTCAAAACTGCTTATTTGTCCAACTTATTGCTCAAAATTTGATGATTGAATCTCCATGGTAAAAAAGTTGCAACTTTAATTGTGATGGAACTTTCTTGAAATGCTGCTTGCTTCAAATTCATTACACTGAATGAGATAAAACCAGCTGAACTGTTAGATGAATGATGAGGATAAGTGAATACTGTTAATCTGATCATACAAAATAATCGTTCAGTAAAAAATTTAACTATTAATTACATACAGGGTGTAAAGAAAGTAACGTTCAGAGGGATGAACTTTTCCCCTTGCGCGATTGACTTGAATTGGTTTGTTTATTTTTTCCTTCAATTAGCCGTTAAAATTTTCTTAACTTGAAGTAAAAATCAGACGATGTAAATTGAATGATCAAATCGACTGCAATCAATTCTATACAAACAATTTATCAATTGATGAACTTATAGAGATGAGGATAAGCACAAATTGATCACAAAGAATCCTAATTGTTTGTTAAGCCACAGCGTTAATGAAATAATAGGCATGATATTTGTTCAAGCGATAAACAATTAACTCTGGTTTACAATTTTTCGTTATTCAATCGACTTAATGTTTTAGCTTCTTTTGGATCAAAAGTTGAATGATGAAAGTTGAATTGATCAGCATTTCAGCCAAAATTGTATGAGGACTAATTCAATTGACGCGAATACTAGATACTAGATGGAATAAGTGAACTCAATTAGGGAATAAAATTAAAAGTTATTAGCATATGGTTGATTACATTTGTATCCACTGTAAACCCGAAATGGTCGTTGGTTGTGCTTTTGTCTATTCGAGACTGGACACAATAGGTTTTTCTCCAGTGTTTTCATAAAAAATCGTGACTCGTGCGATTTTATCACGTTTATCGCCAACTAAATCTCTAGATTATCAGGCAGAGACTGATTAAGAAGAAAGTAATTATAAAATTGTTTGGATCCTTAATTTTTATGATTGATTACATAACATCCAACGACATCATCACCATTTCTCTTTCAGATAACTTCTATGATCTTCATTGTATTATTTTTGTCGAAAAAATCAGACTATTCAGGGGCTTAGATGAAAATTTTCTTTTTTTTTCAGACAATTCAATTGATATTAGTTGTGTTAAATTCATCCATCGCTATTTGAAATAGGCGTAAAATTAATTAAAAAATCGTAAAACCAATGGAAAAACAGCTAAATTGCATTTATTTTGATGGTGAGTGTAAGGTAAAAGCTTATGTCCTCTCTCCTGATTCTACATGTTGGTGGCACTACTGTGGAGTGCGAATTCAATTTTCAAAAATAAAAAGGTGTTGAAATACCCTGGATTACGAGATATAAATTTTGGCTCAGGGGCCAACGCACCCTTAAACTTTGGCTAGAAGATCCATTAGGTTGTCCCGACCAAAGTGTCAGGGCTTTATTTTTAATTGAAATCAAATCGATTGATAGATTTTTTTATTGTTTAATTAAGATCATTTATGGACATACAAAATTATGTCTTCCAAATTATTTAGTTTACAATTACCAGATCGTTACTTCAAATCGGGCTGTGTAAAAGTTTGTCGGTGGATGTTATGTCATCAAAATTAAGGATCCAAACAATTTATATAATTACTTTCTTCTTAATCAGTCTTTGCCTGATAATCTAGAGATTCATTGACGATAAACATGATAACGCACATATCGCACGAGTCACGATTTTATATGAAAACGCCGAAGAAGGACCTATTGTGTCCAGCGTCGAATTGGCAAAATCACAACGACCACTTTGGGTTTTTTTGGGTTTAGCAAAAAAATTTCAAGACACCCTTCGGGTACATTCATTTGTCAGTTATAAGCATATGCTGCACAACTCGTCAACTATATCCCATTAGAAGTATTATCAACATTTGTTTTTATCAAATTCATGCATTGAAAACGCTGAAAATGTCTTAAAATCCATCAGTTACCTTTACCATTGGAATATTCAACTCGAACAAGCCAAAATAAGAAAATGGGTAAGATCTTAGTTAATGGTTGGAGGTGGAGCTAACGGCTATTCGTCACACTTATCCCTTTGTTTGTTTAAATTAGGTTAGGTTAGGTCTTCATTAAAAGGGTCAAAATCGACATAGGAAGGCCCGGAGGGCCTGAGACAATCAAACGGGCACACAAGCAACCCAAAATTCAACTTAATTTTGCAATTTGCAGTGATGACCTTGAAATGACCTCGACTAGTAATTTTGACCTTGAGAATGCTATGTACTAAATTTTGAGTGTGAGTTTCTAGGCTATTAGGTCAGAGTTTTTTCTTCGCGATTCAACAGAGAAAATGTGAAAGTTTTGTTGTGTTCTGATTACACTTGTATCGCTTTCGATACACTGTAAACCCAAAATGGTCGTTGTGATTTCGCCAATTCGAGACTGAACACAATAGGCCCTTCTTCGGTGTTTTATTATAAAATCGTGACTCGTGCGATATGTGCGTTATCATGTTTATCGTCAACTGAGTCTCTAGATTATCAGGCAAAGACTGATTAAGAAGAAAGTAATTATCTAAATTGTTTGGATCCTTAATTTTGATGATTGATTACATAACATCCAACGACAAACTTTTACACAACCCGATTTGAAGTAACGATCTGGTAATTGTAAACTAAAATCGTGCCTCAAGGTGATCCGTTCAAGATTACATGATGAATGAATCGTCTCTGAACAACCTCGAATCACAATTTTTTCGCGGCCTTGTTTTGAGTTTTTCGGTGTTTTAATTTGATTTTGGGTGATACATTCCTCTTGCCCCTCACCTACAGTTAAATTCTTCAATCAATCGAGGCAAAACTTAAAGTTAAGACCTAATCAGTTTAAAATGATCAAACCTCGTACAGATACATATCGAGACTGAAGTACTTCGTATAAAAAGTTTCAAGGTCATTGAGGTCATTTGAAGGTTTTTTTTTGAAAAGAGGAGCAAAAAATTGGACCATGTTCCAAGTTTGGATTAATAATTTAAAATCATTGACGGTTTACCACGATTCATGTCAATTGATGCTTGTTGCATTCAAATTGATAACTCTCCGTTATTTGAAATGATATTGACACCAAACTTCAAAGATGGGATAACTTTTTGTTCTTCTTTTCAAAAAAACCAAATGACAAATTGTATTACTTCAACACCAACTTTCAATTATTTTCAGTGTTAGGGTGAAACTAAAAGTTTATTGTTAATCTTTAGTTTTCATGCTCATTAATACAAGTCAAATATTTTTTATTGTGATCTTTTGATTCTTTTAATTTAGTTTTATCTCTTATTAGTTTTATTTCATCTCGGTGTTAAATATTAATATGTCAAGTGCTGAAGATTCTCTCACCGAACTTGAGAAACTCACTGGTCTCAGTTTGAAGAACTCACCACCCGCTCTTTGTCTAAGACCACAATTTCCTAACGGAACGAAGGGTAAAAAAGTAAAGCTCTACTCCAACTTCTTTAAATTGAGTTTGGGTGGAAAACCGGTGTATCAATATCTTGTCGATTTTCTCAAACCAGATCAATCATCGGCTGATGAATTCGGCAGAAAATTCAAGCGAATCACCAAGAAGCTGAATCAAACTCTTCTCGCACAATTTGTTAATACTACGGGTAAAGAGATTTTTGTTGGAGTAAGTTATGCTTACGACAATGATAGAATCCTCATAACAAGTAAACCTCTTCCTGATATTTCAAAAGAAGGGAGAATCTTCACTTTCTCAATCAACGAACCTCGTGAAAATGATCCGGATTATAGTCAAATGTACCTGATCAGAATCAAATTAATCCAGTTAACAGATCAAAATATGTTCGCTGCCATTGGCTACTAGTCAATCAGTTGATCTTAATCAATTACAATGTGCGAATACAAGGCAATGTTACTATGTCTACCTCTTGCCCCGCACCTTTTTTTTCACCTCACCACCACAGATTTTTTAGCCAAAGTTTTTCGATTTGTTCTTTACGAAGTTTTACGAAAGTAGTATGTTGATGGTTGTGGTTCAACTATACCATCACTGGCTTGGGTCTCACTGTTGAGAGACTTGCATGTTTCGCAAGACTCACCACACGCTGAAGAACATGACGAACAAGAGGAACAAGAGGAACATGACGATGAACTGTCAGTTCTTTTTCTCTTATTTGTATTCACCTCTGGTGGTGTAGCGAACACTTCCCACATCTTACAGGGAAGTGTTACACAGTTACAGGAATGACACAAGTAAGACCCAAGATCATCCTCAGAGATGGAACAACATGGACACGTAAAGACCTGTAAGTATAAGACAAGAATAAGGTTAATGTAAAATCGACATAAGAATGGAGGGATTGACCAAAGAAGCTTTTTTTTCTTATGATTAGTTATGCTTTCTGCTTTTTGATTGTTTTTTTTGTTGTTTTTTAATCTTTAATAAAAATTAACATTTGGCCTTTTTATAAAAGCTTTCTGATTGAGCTTTTAGCTCATCGATTCTCCAACGGAGGTCCAGGGTCTTAGCCTGATAAGGAGCAGGATCAGGAGCCGTGAGAGCTTGGACATTAAACCAACCAGCTTTCACGGTCATACGATCGGCTCTCTTGTGAGCAATACGACCCTTCCGCATGATGTGGACCATCTTCCAGGTATCTGTGTCAGGACGTGACATGATATCCTGGTACTTTCGCTTCCTCCTCTCTTTCGCCTTCTGGTTTCTTGTCTTCTTCTTTGGAGGTTCCTCAGTTAACAACTCTTCCTCAGGAAGAGCCTCAACTGTGGACGACTCAACTATCATAACTTCCTCAGGAAGAGATGAAGTTGGAGTCACCTCAAAGAAGGGAGGCAGAACCAGATCGACTACTCGATCGGAGGAACCCTTCCCTATCCTCGGATCCTTCAGAGAGAAGGGAGGAAAGGGAAGGTTTGCAGGGAAAGAGCGAGGTCTCTTAACCCTGCGGTCCACCAGAGGACCAAAGCCATCCAAAACGTCAAGCGGAATCGTAGCCTATAGAAAAAAGAAAAGAAAAAAAAGCTTCTTTGGTTAATGGGTCAAGGGAGTTAAGAGATTAACTTACCATCTCGACCAAAGAGACAAAGAAAGGAAAAGAAAGGGAAAAGAAAGAGAAACTATCTATCAAGTTAACTACTTGCACTGAGCCGCTAGGTCTCAACAGTGAAAGAGAACAATGATCGTACCTTGAAAAGCTCTGGGTATATATATCTCTAGTTGGACTTACATATTACAGTTCAAAACTTTCTAACCTTCTTGTACTTTAACCTTAAGGAAAAATAATTTTCTCTCATTTTTAATAGATTCAGGACAGTTTATTAACCATCTTTTTACGTTTAAAAGTTTGTCAAACTCTGCATTGTAAGCTCAGGTCCAGGTGAGCTCAGGCTACTGCCTCGACAAGGCTCGAATCGCTGAGGTGAGTCGCTGCAAAGGGCTAGGTGCCTAAGCTAGCCTAGCCAAAAGCAAGTCAGTTACCAGCATCGGCGTTACAACCTTTTACGTCTGTACCAATATCTCAATTATTTTATGTTTTATTTTTCGGTTTAATGATAAATAAAGAGTTTTATGCACTTCAAAAAAATCGACTTAATGTTTCAGCTTCTTTTGGATCAAAAAATGAAGTGATCAGCATTTCAGCCAAAATTTTATGAGGACTCATCCATCTGACGCGAATACTAGATACTGAATGGAATATGTGAACTCAATTAGAGAATAAAATTAAAAGTTATTAGCATATGGTTGATTTCATTTGTATCCACCGTAAACCCGAAATGGTTGTTGGTTGTGCTTTTGTCTATTCGAGACTGGACACAATAGGTTTTTCTCCAGTGTTTTCATAAAAAATCGTGACTCGTGCGATTTTATCACGTTTATCGCCAACTAAATCTCTAGATTATCAGGCAGAGACTGATTAAGAAGAAAGTAATTATAAAATTGTTTGGATCCTTAATTTTGATGATTGATTACATAACATCCAACGAAAATTTTTTACACAGCCCGATTTGAAGTAACGAGCTGGTAACTGTAAACTAAATACATGTATTAGGGGTATCAATAATTTCGTGCGTTTTCTGGTAATTCAGGTTATTTAATTATTGTTAGAAACCTAATTGAGATAATGACTTGATTTTTTAGATGAAATAAAATTCAGAAATTTTCTCAGATTAATATATGAATCAATTATTAAATTAGCAAATAGATCTGAGTAAAAAAAAGGTCACAAAAAAGCCGAAATTAAAACTTTTCTATCACTATTTCAAAGTGGCCTAAAATGGCCTGTTTAGGCATTTTTAGAAATTCTAAGATAGGCAAAACGCACTTCGGAGTCTCTTCTTTAATTTTTTTAAAAAAAATTTGAAAGTTTCTAAAATTTAACATTGATTCAATGGAGACAAATTCATTTTTATCGATTTTCATGAAAAAAATGTCCAAATTTCGATTTTAATTTTTTCGATGACCATAATCAGCTAATTGTTGGTGTTCACAAAAATTGAAGAAGAAACTTCGAAGTGCGTTTTGTCTATCTTAGAATTTCTTAAAAGCTTAAACAGGCCATTTTAAAGAAAATCGAACAAAAAAAACGGAAAATTTCAATGTTTTTTTTGACCTAACTAAATTTTTTAAATAATCGATAGTTTATCAATTTAAATATTGAAATACTTGAATTTCAATTCAGTGAAAAAAACTAAACCTAAATTATCAATGGTTTATTGCAGTTGATTCTAATCAATTACAATTTACGCATTCAAGGCCATGTTACTACGAATTCTATTTTGAACAATACAGATTGAGAGTAGACAGTGTCTACTAGACACATTCCTCACTGTAACACAATGCTAAAAGTGTAAAAGATTTGGCCATCCAATTCGCAAGCGCATCTGAAACGCGTTCAGAAAATCATACTTTTAAAGACTAGAAATATCTACAAATCTCAGGCCAAAGCGATGTTTCGTCCAAAGCAGTCGAACGCTTTAAGTATTTGTTGCGACTTCTAAACTAATTGTTCGACTTAATGATCATAAAGAAGTAAGCTCAGCATTAATCCCGCCAAAAAATAATCATTAGAATAATAATTAATAGAAAAATTTCTTAATTAAATCGGCGTAAAAGGGAACTAATCAAAACTTTGAACTAAATGAAATAGATTTAAAGCCAAAGAGTAGTAATTACATCATTACTCTTTGTTTAAAGCTAAGAACAGAAATGAGGAAGCACAAGAAGCTTTACTCAAAAGAAAGATTAAAAGTCTCGAAGATCGAATGGAAAGTTTTTTCCTCAGCGAAACCTGTAAATATCTTTATCTTGTAAGTTGATTGGAAATAAGGTTACCTGTATCTTTTAATTACTCTCGATAATTAACTTAAATTTTTGTCTATATTTAAATTGCAGCTCTTTGACACTGACAATCCTTTAAATAGAGATGCTGCTAAATTCATCTTCAGTACCGAAGGTCATATTTTTCCAGTTACATGGAGATATCGCAGAAAAGCCTGGGAAGATGTGGATAAATTTGTAAACGATTCATCTTCATCATCATCATCATCCGCATCATCTAATATGCAAGATGAATATAACAATAATCTACCATTGGATACTAATCATTCAACTAAATCATGCCTTAAAATTAATCAAGAGAGACATTACATGTTGCCAATTAAGAATAATTATCTTCATCAAGTAATTCATGCCTTACGTTCAGAGGTTTAATTTAAATTATTGAAAAAAAAATAGTTGATAAGAAATCAGATCATAACAATTGTGAATCTATTTTTTTATGATTTATGATTTACTTTCAATGTATTTTAATAATGTGATACATAATGTGTAATGTTTCAAACTAAGATTTGTAATATTATTTAATTGAGAAACAAATAATGATATTAACAACAAGTTAGATGGTCAACATGATCACTCAACGTTGATCCATATATTTATCTGTTTCGTTGACTGATTCCCATGCGATCCTAATCAAGTTATTAGAAATATATGCAAATTGTTTTCTATTAAAACAATAGAACAGTAAAAATCGAAAATCAAAAAATTTAATTCTTTTATTCAATCGATAATACATATGTATTTTGTTCAACTCTTCATGTTTCTTATTTTTTCTCGAACTTCATTAATCCAGTTAACAGATCAAAATATGTTCGCAGCCATTGGCTACTAGCCAATCAGTTGATTCTAATAATTACAATTTACGAATTCAAGGCAATGTTACTATGGATTGTAAGAGATAATAGATTGCATAAACTAATCAAGATCATTTGGTTTACGATTGAATCTCCATGTTTAACATGGTAAAAAAGTTGCAACTTTAATTGTGATGAAACTTTCTTGAAATGCTGTTTGCTTGAAATTCATTATACTGAATAAAAGATAATCAGCTGAACTGTTATATGAGTGATGGTGATAAGGAATATTGTTAATCTGATCGTACAAAATAATCGTTTAATAAAAAATTAAACTAATTACATGTAAGTGATTTGATGATAGAAAAATATTTTTAAATAGATGATTACTATTATTAATATCAATTCTATACAAACAATTTATCAATTGATGAACTTATTATGAACTAATTAATTGTTAAGTAATAGCGTTAATGAAATAATAGGCATGATATCTGTTCAAGCGATAAACAATTAACTCTGGTGTAAAATTTTTCGTTATTCAATCGACTTAATGTTTCAACTTCTTTTGGATCAAAAGTTGAAGTGATCAGCATTTCAGCCAAATTTTATGAGGATTCACACCATTGACGCTAATACTGGATACTGAATGTAATATGTGAACTCAATTGGAGAATAAAATTAAAAGTTATTAATATATGGTTGATTACACTTGTATCGCTTTCCCTGGAAACATTAGAAAGTGTATCTCGAAACTTCACAGAGACACTGGTTCTATTAGACAGGACGGAAGGTTGGCATTTCGAAAATGTAATATGATATTTTTGTATCCTTTGTCGCCTATTTGACACTATTTTGCATTAATAAACGGTATGGTTGCAAAGTTATACAGGGCAATTCAGTTAATTTGTTGGTTTTCTTTTCACGATTACTCAAAAACTACTTGGCCGATAGGGCCCAAATTTTGTCTATGGCAGTTTGTCCGATACTCATTTGTCATATTTCAAGGTCGTCATAAAGGTTATTCATGATAGAACGCACTTGAATGTCATTTGAAGAACTTTTTGAAAGTAGAAATTTTTTCAAGCCTACTTGTGATGTTTTATCATTTCTGTGCTTACAGGATCTAATTTAATTTGCTTTCTGTAAAAAGTTATCTTAAGTAACTAATTTTGTTTTAGCGCGATACCAGCGTTGCTTTGTGATATTATAACTTTTTGCCTTCTTGACTAGGGTTGTCTAGTTTTCAAAAAGTTCTTCAAATGACATTCAAGTGCGTTCTATCATGAATAACCTTATGACCTTGGAATGTGACAAATGAGTATCGGTCAAACTTCGACAGACAAAATATGGGCCCTATCGGTCAAGTAGTTTTGGAGTAATCGTGAAAAGAAAACCAACAAGTAAGCTGAATTGCCCTGTAGCTTTTCAAACGTCTACATGATTAAAAAACACACTGTATATGGTTGATTACACTTGTATCGCTTTCGATACACTGTAAACCCAAAATGGTCGTTTTGATTTTGTCTGTTCGAGACTGGATAGGTTCTTATTCGGTGTTTTCATATAAAATCGTGACTCGAGCGATATGTGCGTTATCTCAGCCATTATCTCTAGCTAAATTATCAACCTTTAGATTCAATCGTTTCATTGTTTCTTGTAAGTTCGAAATAGTCTTATTCATGTTGGGATTAATTGTTTCCCTTTGCATCATGAAGGAGTTGTTACAGGAAAATACGAAGTTCAGGTTACGATGCAAACGCGTATTCGGCTCGTCGGACCATTTGATGTAAACTTTTCCACTTTATTAACGGTGAACACTATTTATTGATTACTAAGTACATGAGAAGGGGAATATGATCCCAACTCTACTCGATAGAGACAATTGAGACTTCGACTTTAGAATCCGTAATTGTTTAGCTAGAGCTTCTTTTTTATCGCTTGAACAAATAATTAGGATTCTTTCATCAATTTGTGCATATCTTCATCTCTTTAAGTTCATCAATTGATAAATTGTTTGTATAGAATTGATATTAATAATAGTAATCATCTATTTAAAAATATTTTTCTATCATCAAATCACTTACATGTAATTAGTTTAATTTTTTATTAAACGATTATTTTGTACGATCAGATTAACAATATTCCTTATCACCATCACTCATATAACAGTTCAGCTGATTATCTTTTATTCAGTATAATGAATTTCAAGCAAACAGCATTTCAAGAAAGTTTCATCACAATTAAAGTTGCAACTTTTTTACCATGTTAAACATGGAGATTCAATCGTAAACCAAATGATCTTGATTAGTTTATGCAATCTATTATCTCTTACAATCCATAGTAACATTGCCTTGAATTCGTAAATTGTAATTATTAGAATCAACTGATTGGCTAGTAGCCAATGGCTGCGAACATATTTTGATCTGTTAACTGGATTAATGAAGTTCGAGAAAAAAAATGAGAAACATGAAGAATTGAACAAAATATTATCGATTGAATCAAAGAATTAAATTTTTGATTTTCGATTTTTCCTGCTCTATTGTTTTAATAGAAAACAATTTGCATATATTAGGGGTATCAATAAGTTCTGTCGTTTTTTGGTACTTCAGGTTGTTTAATTATTGCTCGAAATCTTATAGAGATAATAATTTGATTTTCTTGAAAAAATAAAATTCATAAATTTTGTAAAATTAATATATTAATTAATTATTACATTTACAATAAATTTCTGGTCAAAAAAAGGTAAAAAAAGCCGAAATTAAATTTTTTTTATCACATTTTGAAAGTGGCCCAAAATGGCCTTCTCAGAATTTTTTACTGATTCTAAGATAGCAAAGATACACTTCCCAGCTTTTCCTTTGATAATTGTGAGTATCAACAATCAACTAATCATGGTCATTGAGAAATTCAAAATCGAAATTAAGACATTTTTTCGGAAAAATTTGAAACTTTTTAAAATTTACCATTGACTCAATGGTAAAAAAATCATTTTTCATCGATTTTCACAAAAAAAATGTCCTAATTTCGATTTTAAATTTCTCAATTACCATGATTAGTTAATTGTTGATACTCACAATTATCAAAGGAAAAACTGTGAAGTGTATCTTGGCAATCTTAGAACTCGTAAAAAATCCAAACAGGCCATTTTAGGCCACTTTTAAGAGAATCGAACAAAAAAACGGAAATTTCTGATGCTTTTTATGGCCTGAATAAATGTCCACTAATTATCATTGTTTTATCGATTTTAATAGAAAAATGGGTGAATTTTAATACGACAAAAAAATTAAAGCTAAATCATCAACAGTTCTCAGGAGATAGCTTGATAAGCGAGAAAACGACAGAACTTATTGATACCCCTAATACATGTATTGTATGTCTATGAATTGAATGAATTTTCAAAGCAATCCTTCTTAATGTTGCTTATCCCGATCTTATAATCATTTCGCGTATGATTATAATCTCAATCTTCGAAAATTCGTTGAGCCTTGACGTTGCGCTTCGCCTCATGTTTGAATGGAGCAGCGATGCTTCCTATGAGGAGACCCATCGGGAGACCGGTGTGAGTCCACGAACCACGGCCGAGTGGTATCGTCGCTTCCGGGAAACGATAACCTCGGCCTACTCAAAAGATCAGGATGATCGAGGGAAAATCGGTGGGCTGCGTGGTTCAGGTGGACGAGGCCAAGTTCGGGCAGCGGAAGTACCACCGTGGACAGACCATCGCGGTTCATTGGGTCTTGGGCATGATCCAGGACGAATCTGAGGATCTATGCCTCATGGTGTGTCCTGGAAACTCCCGGGCTTCCAAGACCCTTACCACGATGATCGTTGACTATGTGGCTGATGACACAACCATCATCACAGATGGCTGGCGGGCTATGCGGGGCTCGAGGAACATGGATATGAGCACCATCGGGTTAATCACCAAGAAAACTTGAACGTGAACCCAAGAAATGGTGCTCATACTCAACGAATTGAGTCCTGTTGGCGTCTGGCGAGAGTATTCTTCAGGAATAAAAGGATTCCTGAAGAAGACATCGCGGATCACTTGATTGAGTACCAATGGAGACGTTGGTCCTCAAAAAGTGGTCTCCAGCCATTTGAGGCCCTGGTCAAAGTGGTTCGGGAGGCTTGGCCACTATGAGCTTGTGCTCGAGCTGGGGTAAAATCCTAACCTAACCTATTTTCTGGAGTAATTTCTGACCTAAAATTTGCAAATTCCTAACCTAACCTATTGGTCAGCAAAGCTTAACCCTACCTCCTCGTGGTGCTGGCTGGATAAAGCTAACAGGGCTCTGGCAATCTATTTTAAACGAAAAATTGAACTTTGGGTAATGTTGACCAAAATGACCTTGACTCATTTTTTGATCTTGATAAAAATTCTGATCAATTTTGAACCAAATGTAAGCATCCAATCTGTGAATATATGCAAAACTAAATTTTTTACTATTACTATTTTCAACCCATTATAAATGCCGTGCGAAAAACGAGATATGCCTGAAAGTTCATATATGACATGCGCACAGTTCATTCTATGTGTCAAGAAAAAATTCATGAGCTATGAGGTACCTCCTACTTTCTTAAAAAATCATTTCCGAGAAGTTGAAACTGCCCATAGACCTCTTAAGGATTTGATGTTTTTTAATGCCAATAACTCCGCCCACAGAAGTTTCCGCTAAAAAACTTCAACATGTATATAGACCTACATAAGACAGTTTAATTGGTAATTATAATGGGGATACTTTATGGGGGTTATTTTACTTTTAATTTAACTAACAATTTTACTTGTTTTTCCA